CTAGAGGTTTCGCCGGAGGACGCCAAGAGCAGCCAGAGTCGATTTGGGTCAATGGCCGGGAGCTCACAAAAGAAAGCAAGGTGAAAAACTTGCAGGAAGCATGCAACTTCTATGGTATCAGTGCTGGTGGGGCCAAGTCGAAGTTGTATGATAGACTGTGTATATGTTACCAAGCAGTTTCAGAAAGACGTTGACAGGGCAAGGAACAATCTGCAGAAGCTGGAGATGGGTCCTCGGGCTAATGTCCCAAAGAAAGGAGTTGAACGACTGGAAGGTCCTAAGGTCATCGAGCGCCACGAGACGAGGCAACACACCTTCCATTTGCTCCTTGGTGTGAAGCTTGTTTGAAGACAAAGTCCAAGGAGGACCAGACATTGACCAATACAGATGCCTCAGTTGATGACACCGGAATTCCGCATATTCAGCTTGATTGGATGTATCTGGGAAGGAACTGTCCCTCATTGGTGATGTTGGACACCACTACAGGGTATGGTGCAATTTTCCCTGCAAGGACAAAAGGGGCCTGGAAAGCCTTAGCTGAATTTTGTGTTAAGTTCTCATTAATGTCATTGGGGTTGAACTATGTTGGTGATGTTGTCTTTGTTATGGATTCTGAGCCGGCTACATTGGGGCTGCTGGATATGATTGTGATGATCAGGCAGGAGATGGGTTATCGTGCAAGCAAAAAGATGGGGAAACCCTACCACAAGGGACGCACTGCCAGGGTGGAGCGCTATTTTCAAACAGTGAGGCGCCAAGCCAACACACTTATGGCAAGCGTGGAGACATTCATGAACTGCTAGATGATCTCCACTGCCTCAGGGCTTGGGCGCTTGTCCATTCGGTCTTTCTGTTGAACCGATTTCACGAGCATTCTGGCATCAAGGCTACTGTCTATGAGACCGTCTTTGGCCATAAGTACAATGGCAATATCCTCCCATTCGGTGAATTCGTGTTCGGTCTAAGGCAGCCTGTGAAGAAGCGGGGACGAGCGTCTGGCAGGGTGGAATCTGGATTGGCAAGGATGAGACAGATATGCATGTGTTGGTGACAGCTGGAGGCCAGTTTCATTGCTGGTTGATTCAAAGATGTGGACATGCCTGGAGGCCTGACGTGATCAAGAGTTTGACCTCATCGCTTTGAACAAAGATGAAAGGGTCAGGTCCTGTGGGATTGTTGGAGGCTCCTCTACCTTCTATTGAGGAGAAACCTGAGGGGTGAAAACGAGACCCTATTTTGCTGAGAAGTGGTTTGATTGATGAAGAAGCAGAAGAAGTACTGGAACAAGCTGGGTCATATGAACCTACTGAACCCGGCAGTCCACGTGGGGAAGAAGCAGGCCCCACAGCTATGGCAAGTGAACCTTTGGAACGTTTGTCAGATATGCAGAGGAAGAGTTTACTTGGCATTCCCATCATTCCAAGCACTCCTGAACAGATAGATGTTGATCATGAAGGTGTCTCAACAGAGAAGAGAGAAGCAGGTGAGAGTCAAGATGAACGAGAGAAAAAGGCAGCGAGGTTTGAGAATTTTGACAGAGCCCCAAGTCCTTCATCAAGTCTGAAGGGAACATTGTTTACACCCTTGTTTGCTGGCAATGTGAGTGCGGCGGACAGGCCGCATGGCGATCTTTGCTGGGAGAGTGAGGTTGACTGGGATGCAATCGACAAGGAGTTGGAAACAATAGAAGTAGACTTCCAAGGAGAACGACCCCCTGACATTTCTGCTTCAGAACTACAGCAGTTGGACAGTGAAGCGATGCGAGTTGAAGTGGAGAAGTTGACAGGGCTTGAAGTCGATTTGAAAGAAGTTCCTGACTGGCCGTTCAGGCAAGGTGCCTGGAAGAGACGGTGCAGGATTGTAGCAAGAGAGTTCAAGACAGGCCCGTCGACTGAAGAAACTTTCTCCCCGACTTCATCCCATGGAGTAGTGAGATTGTTTTTACTATGTCACCTTTGCTTCGGTTGGAAGTTGGCTAGCTTGGATATCAGTGATGCTTATTTGACCGTTGAACACAAGGAGATTTGCTATGTCGAGATTTCTCAATGGATGAAGGAACAACTCAAGCTGCCGGAAGAAGCCATTTGGGAATTGCGGAAGGTGCTGCCTGGTCAGAGGAATGGAGCTCAGAGATGGTTTCAGGATTTTACCAAGAACTTGAACAAGCTCGGTTTTCATTCCTGCGCAGCTATGCCTTCAGTTTTTGAAACATAACGCCCGGAAGATTGCAATTAATGTTCATGATTCATGTTGATGACGAATTGATCGCAGCAGAGAGTAAAGACGATTTCGATTGGTTGGTGAAAGAACTGGAGAAACACTACAAGCTGCAGGCAGAAGGACCTTTCCCGGTGGAAGGATTGGGATCAGGTGAAGAGTTGAACTGAAGAAGGTCTACGTGTTCAGAGAGGATGGGATCTATGTGAAGCCGAATACCAAGTTCACTGAAACATTGGTGCAACTTTACAACCTGCAAGAGAGAAAGGAGAAACAAGTACCTGAACACAGTTCTCTGACACAGCCTGATTCTTCGGCAGAGTTGGATGAGCAGAAGCAGTCGGCCTTCAGAACAGCTCTTGGAACAGCCATGTACATGTCGCATGAAAGGTGGGACATTCAGTATTGTGTGAAGTCTTTGGCGAGTTTCATGAGAAGCCCTACTGAACATGCAGAGCGTTGTTTGATTCAGTTGTTGCTTTATTTGAAGGGAACTGCAGATCTATCCTTCCGGATGCTATATACTCCTGCTGGAAGTCGGATGTCCACAAAGTTGAACAATGTTGTTGATCTGGAACCATGTGAAGACCATGTGATGGAAGTGTTTTGCGATAGTGACTGGGCTGGTGGACCAGCCAGGAAGTCAACAACTTCTGTGATGATTCTTTTGATTTCGCTTCGAATCCTTTCCTGAGTTCATGTGAGGCCGAGGTTCTTGCTTTGACCTCAGGCTCAAGCGAGGCTTTGCTGCTGAAAGAAGTCTGGCAGTTTATGACAGGCCAGAAAGTCATCCTTGAGGCCAGGAGTGATTCTTCAAGTGGACGACAATGGCTTCAACGGTCGGGACTGGGGAGGCTCAAACACATTGACGTGAGACTATGTTGGTTGCAAGAGGCCATCAGAAATCAGGTCCTCAGAGCTTTACCCATTTCGACCCAAGTGAATATCGCAGATCTCAATACCAAGAAGCTGACAGCAGCGAGACGAAAATTTTGTTGAGTTTTCTCGGAACGGTGAGGCTGGACTCATCGAATGAGACGGTAGAGGTTGTTGGTGAGAATGAGCAGTTGGATCATTTTTCAGAGCAGATGTGGAAAGGACGGATCCAACGAGCAACAAGGTGGGTGAAGAGCAAAGCAAACAAACGTTTGGTTCAGAGTGCATAAGCCCTTAGCATGAAGGGTTGTGGTGAGCATGACAATTTCAATTGGAACCAGAAGATCAGAGACATCAGTTCCTTTTTACAACGTGCGTTCTGTTGACGTTGGCTTGTATGAATTGGCTCTATGTGAGATGGCATGATATCCAAAGATGGGTGAGAACAAGAAAGAGAAAGAGACAGATGGGACGAACAGAAGAGGGATTCAACAGTGAAGCGAGACAACCAGAGAAGACAAGACCCCATCTTCCTGCTGTGAGACCAATGTCAGCTACAGGAGCAAGCTCATCGCAAGATCCTGTGCCGGTGATTCCTTCTGACAGTCCAAGAGGACCAAAGTTTCCTCCTCCTCCACCCACTTTACAACCAAGGTGGGCGCCTTGGAGCCCGGAGTGGTTCCTGTACTGGATGGCTGGAAGAGTGACTAGCAGGCTGGAGAGAGAGCAAATGTCAGAAGACAGGCGGCGCAGGTATGAACAAAGGCGTCGAATCTTGGGAGCTACACTTGCAGCCTTAGAGTTGGACCACAGCACAGTTGTGAGACAGAGGGCGCATGAATATTGTTTTAAAATGACAGATCTTTCTCCTCGAGATGATTCCCCAGAGTTCTGTGGAGAAGGAGAAGAAGACTTGCCGGTGGATTCGGCAAGGGAAGCAGGCGATAGGGTTGGTGGCGAAGATCGGGGATATTTTGACCCTGACAACATTAACTATGGCGCAGAGAGAAGAGCAGGAAATGATTCCAGTGAAGAGAACGATGAAGCTTCTGGTGATGAGGAAGAGAGCTTTGAATCGGAAGATACCAGAGTGGCGCGATACCTACATTCGGGACTTGATGAAGTTTCGGACCATGAGATGTGGATGTCACTCCATCATTGGAGCAGTGAGAGCGAAGATGATGGAGGTGAGGCTACAAACAATGCTGCAGCAGCATCGACAACAGCAATTGGGGCAACAGTAGGCACAGAACATGACAATGGCGAACCGGAAGATGAACCAAGAACAAGTGTGGAGTGATTTATTTGCATGATTTGAGAGCACTGTACGTGCACCAGCTGAACCACGTACAGTGACACGACAAACACTGGACACTACGAAGCACTTTTGATAGTGCAGTTGAGAATTCACGAAGACTTTTGTAGGAATGGCGCAAAATGTGCCGGAACGGTCCATACATCATTTGTATGTGAAGTCAGGTGGCCTATCCCTTTAGCCACTTAGTCGAAGTGGTGCCTGACGAGAAAAGCACGACTATAGCGTCGAACTTTTAGGCGGCGTGTCAAGAGTTGTGCGCCTACTAGGTAGTCTAGATGTATAGCTATGTGGTGTACTGTTCACTAGTTGAAAACTACTCCGCTGGAGCGCGTGGGCTCAAAAGGTGCGCTATCAAACAACTTGTCAACGTACCCGTACCCAGAACAGTATGCATATATACATTCAACGGAAAAGTCACCAAGCAATGGTGCCCAGCAACCATGCGCAAACTGACTGCGCTGTGTCAACTAGCTTTGTGTGCTGCTTTGGAAATTTCCGCGACGAAGGGTCCTTGAACAATTTTTTTAATCAATCTCATGGTGTTTCAATTGAACGATCAGCTAAGGCCGTCAAATGTTTTGGTGTGTTGAGCGCAGCTGCTTTTGTTCACAGGTTATTCACCACAAACCTCAGCGCAGATTTCCCCAGAATTCATGCATGCGCCTAAGACGCGTCTCTTTGGTTTCTCTCGTCACTGTAGCTATATATCCATGACGATCAACGGCAATGGTCCTGGCCGTGTGCTTGTCTATTCGCATTCCTGGCTTCCTGGTCAAGTTGATGGAGTTGCTGTACGAATGATGGCACATGTACATGCAATGGCTAAGCGGGGTGTGAAGGTCCTGCTTGTAACACCAGATTTCGTTGTAGATGGACTCCCTTTGCCCAAATTTGATGATATTCCAGGTGTCGAGCATGTCACCTTGCAAACTCAAAGAACACCAGTCTATCGAAAGAACATGTGCATGAAAATGTCCTTCGAAAATTTGAGAAGGCTTTTGAACGTCATGCGGCGGTTTCAGCCTGATTTGGTGCACGGGACACAAGAAGCATCGCTTCAAGTCCTGGTGACAGCATGTGCTTTGTGTGATGTCCCTTTGATTATCTCACTGCATACAGATGTTGCTCAAATTGCTGCTCGCGATCAAGGCTTTTCCTCTTTGGGTGGTGTTGTAGGACGACTGCATTCAGGGGCTGCTGTTTGGTGCACTCACTGGGGATATCGAAATTGGGCATTGGCTGGTGCGAACTACTTCCCTGTTTCCAAGCAGTCTATGGTCATACTTCGGAATGCTGGTGTGCCGGAGCAACGAGTTGCACCAGTTATTTGGGGTCCGATGGTTGACCGCGATCAATTTCGGGTGGATCTTCCAGATGAAAAGATCGCAGAAACTCGCAAACGCTTGAGCTTCGGAATGGATGACTGCTTTCTCATGGTGTATGTTGGACGAGTCACTGCTGAGAAGGACATCCAGTTTCTGATGGATGCTCTTAAGCGGGCTCCTAAGCATGTGATTCTTGCGCTGATTGGGCCTGGGTCCATGGCTGAAGAACTTAAGCAATTTCATGGGCCAGAGCACCGGCTGCATCTTTGAAGCAATGTGTGGAGAATTAGAAGAACGTGCGAAAATGCTCAGTGGGACAACCAGGATAATCAGATAATCATCTATATAGTTTCACAGCGTTGGAGAGAAACACCAAAGTAAAACACTAAAGGGTTTGTCGCGGATGTCGACACCGATGGACGAGCAAAACATGGCATGGAACAAGTAATGGTGGGAGCAACGATGAAGGTGCCCAACCAAAAACTGTTTAGAACACATGAACACTACATTTTTCTGAACGGTGGAGGTATGTTTCCCAATTTGGTACTTAGCTTTGCTAGCAAAGCTCATACTGAGATGAGTTTGCAGCAAGAGACAGCTGAACGGTTGTTGGTTTTTACACTGTCAAGGACTGGGAACAAATGGGACAAATGGGCTTGAGTTTCCAAGCATGCCAGGTATTGCACTGGGGAATTTGCAAGCAGAGATGAAGTGGCTTTATCCTTCCGAGCTGCAGATATTCATGTTTCCGCTAGCAGAATGGAGACAGTTGGCTTCACGGTCTCTTAGTGCTGAAGAGGGTTCATGTCAATGTCAGAGCATTTCATGCTTTTTAGCGATTGGGAATTGGTACACAGTTTTTTTTTTTTTTTTTTAATATAGCCCGTATATAATATCGTTGACAACAACTGTCCTGCTTTGCCCGATGTGCCGGGATTCTGAGGCCATGGAAGCCATTAGCTGTGGTACACCCATGTTAGCAGCAAATGCACAAGGTTATGCCATGTACCTGACACATGGTGTGAATGCTGCTTGGATGGATGAGTTTTCATTATTGAAGCCGCTGGATCCTGCATTGAAGGCAAAGCGGGAAAGCTAAGGCCAGACTTTTTGTACCTGGAAATGCAGAATCCTTTGACTTGGAACTGGCAGAGATTATGAAGATCAAGCGCGAAGGAAACTGGTCCCGGGAGTCTGTGCGTTCAACTATGGATGCTTTGAAGAAGTCTGTTTTGACTTGAGCTGCTTTAGTCAGAGCTTTCAAGCTTTCATCAGCTTTCTATTTCCATTAATTAGAGAATTCTACAGTATCTTGGTGAATCCAAGGAGATGGCCTCCATCGATGCATGCACTGACCGAGCCTTTCAAGCATACTTGACAAGTCCTGCTACTGGATGGCGCTCAATTCGCCTAGTAGTCACATTGTTTCCTCTCTGCAAGCAGCTTCGACATGAGTTCTTTTGCAATCAAGGAATCAAGGAACAGTCAGTGTGGCGAACTGGATTCTTGCCTTTTCTATGTCATATCTATCATTTTTTCCTATCTTTATCCCTTTCCTTCCATTTGTCGCAAGCATCATGCTCTTCCTAATCCTCAAGACACAGTTGGTGCTTAGCTTCAAGAGTACTGGTGACCTTGCTTGACTAACTGCCCAGGAAAAAACAAAAACAAAATGCTTGTTAGCATTGTCAATAGCATGTACTACCCTTGTGCTGGGTGCAATACTGCGGATTCATTGAAGACCCCACTTGGCAAACCAGGTTTTATTTTCTCTTGAACATGTTCTTTGCCACTGTTATGGGATGAGACTTCCACAATGCGGATGTGCCTCGCATGCCTTTCGACCACCACTTGCATACATCTGATTTGGATACCTCATTCGGACAAGGATCGGAACAAGTGGTGGACACGCCCAGACCCTATACACGCCGGTCTCACACCAATCAGATGTTTGGCATCGACTTGACTCGATGTTCTCATTTTGCGCTTGCTGACTCTATTTTGCATTTTCCCAGAATGAGAGGACTGGAAACTAGTCCATGCGAGAGTTTTGCCTTTAGCTTTGCAGATGCAAAATGATGGTTAAGGCTGCCTGGCTGCCTGAAGAATAATCAAATTATCAATGACACTGTGTTGCTGGATGCAGCTGTTTGAGTTCGAGGTCAAAGTAACGTAGAATCCGTTGCCATGTCCTTCTCTCCAATTCTATTATGCGTTGTCTCTCTTCTGGCTGTTGCTTCAGCCATTGTTTGTCCGCCAGAGATGTTGCAGGCTGCACCTATTGGACTGCCTGCAGGTTCAAAGTGTGGGGGAACTTGTCATGTCCACGGCCATTGCGCTGCTGGTCTTTCCTGCCAACAACCACGGACTCCTATTCCTGTCTTAGGCATTCAGGCAGCTGGTGTTTGCGTTGAAAGCCACAGCTTTGATGCGGATAGCGACGACGCAGCAGCAGTCAAACAAACAATCCAGGAGGCGTTGATACTCTTGAATGCACGGTCGAGCCTTTGAGGGATACACAGTGGAAGTTTGAACACTGGATCTCTGCCTTTGTTCTTCAGCTAGTTCTTTCAATAGGGTTCAAGATGCTGTTTGTCCTTAGGAATGATATCTACATGCTTGTGCCTGTGGGATTGCTTGGAATGCAGCGTGAACCTTCGCAGACCGAAGCAGTGCACTTCATCCTGCAAGGGCGACAGCGTTTCGTTCCAGTGAGAGAGAGAGAGAGAGAAACAAGCAGAAACCCAAGCTCCAGTTTGTATATTCTTGCTAAAGAGCTATTGAGTGTTCAAGAGGTGGGCAGGTCTAATGGAGTCTAGATGTAGCCAGGTCTCAAACCACAATATTCTGAGCACTCAAACACCTGGAGCAGGGTGGAGAGTAGGTTCTTCAGGGATGTTCAGGAGCAAACCTCTGCGGAACCTGCTACAGACAATGGAGGTTTCGACCAGGTTCGCAGGAGGTTCCAAAACGGGCTTGGAATCTCTCTCTCTCTCTCTATATATAGTGAGATTGAGATATATTACTTTTCTGCCTACTGTTATAGTTATATAAACTGATGCAGGTATTACAGTTTGTTTGCAGACCTCAACTCATGAAATTTCACACCGCTTCCGATTTGTAACTCGAGATTGCACCGCCCTTTAGTCTGATCTACAGTAATGGGGAGGCGTTGCCATGTCATTGGATCTAGGGTGGAATCTCCTACGACCCTGGCAGACTTGCTGGTTCATCCATGATTCTGCGTGGCCAAAGCAGGGCTGCGGAAACAGTGAAGTCCACAGGGTTGTAGCGTGTCGAAAGTGCAGCGAAGTGCCGCGGCCGGTGCCACCTTTTGGCCTCATGAGCCTACCCTGCACTTGGCAAAAGTCAAACGCAACGCCAAAAATAATGCGCAGCATGCATTTTAGTGGGGCGTGTCGGACAGCAAAAGCTGGATGCCGTCAAGAACAACAATGAGCTCAGTTCGCAAGCTCCCACCTAAGATCAAGCTGATCCGACCCAGTGGACTGCACTGTACTCTGCCCATAATCTTCAAAGTGCCACCAGGCTCCCTGGTGTGCACTCGAGTGGCGCACTGCATCATGCCCATGACAGACTCAAGCATCTTCAGCAAGGCGGCGGCGTCGCTCAGCGTCATGTGGTCCTCCAGGCCAATCAGTGCCCTTTCTGGCCTCCACTGCAGCTGCGTAGTACTGAGCACTCTTGTGCTGCTCAACTCAAGGGGCTTCACGAAGGTCACCAATGGCACTCTGATCTGCCCTAGCTCATTGGAGGTGATCGGACGGAAGTCGCCCTTGATGAGGAATGACATGATGGTGGAACAGGGAGCCACAAGCAGCAATGGATGGGGCGAAGCCATATGGCCTGGATTGGTGCGATGGATGTATGCTGCTGGCTGGAGGTAGAACTGATGGGAATTTGTCTCTGCAGCTGCTGCTGCATGTCTGCCGCTGCTGTGTGTATGTCCCTGCCTTTGCCACGGACATGCAGGGCTGGCGAAGTCGGCGGGTTGGAGAGGATCTTGCCACCGATGGTGTTCCGTTCAATTGAACAGTGCACCAAGGCGTCTTTGATGCGAGCGGCCGTTTGGTGCTTGGAGTCGTTGCAATACACCGATGCCGCTCCATGTGCCTCGCCTGGCGCAACCTCGTGAAAGATGCCATGGGCAGAGTTCCCTCTTGAGAATGCGAGTGGGCCAGAGTTCGCCTTCGTGTGTGATATGATGTTGCCCAACACGCGCACGGCCATACCTCCATGTCTTTGTTGCGCGAGCCCATTCCCACAGCGTGTCCTTGCAAGGTGCAGTTGATGATCGCCTTGGTGTTCCAAAGTCAGCGCGTCCTGGACTGCTGGCTTGGTTGTCAGGACCAAAGTATTCATTTTCATCTTTGTCGCGTGGCCGGGCCGCGCCGCGTGGCCCCGTACAGGGGCTGATCGAAGTCAGGGCGGCGACCGGGATGTGCTCGTAGCGCCCCTGTTTTCCAGGACAAGTTTCCAACGCAACGCCTCCGCCACTTGTTGCTGTGTGTAGACCTCCTTGCAGAACACCAGGTGTCGGTCGTGGTGACTGGCAGCACGAAGGGCTTTTTGTGTTGGACAGGAGTGCGTCGAGCGAGGACGAGCGGCTCCGCATTTCCGTTCAAAAGCAAAGTCCGAACCAGTTTTGAGTGAAAACTGCTGAGAGGTCATTGAGCTGAGTGCGCCCATGGTCTTGAGATGATCGTGCTTCTTGAGCAGTTTGGCGGCGCCCATCTCTCCCAGTGGCCAAGCCCCGTTCAGTATGTTGGAAGTCGGCCAAGCTCAGACCATTTTCTTAGATCAGCGGCTGGGCCATGCGCGGCTCGGTGGTCCTGACGCCAAAGTGCCAGGGTCGTAGGTGATGTATATAGTCGTGGGGGAGGGAGTGTCTTCAAAGCCTTAGCAGCCCGAAACTGAAACCTTGTGCTGGAACACCGCTTCATTGTGATTGACGCGGGTGAGAATCGTCTGGTCCCCCAACCTTTGCAGACGCTTAAGCCTTCAAAATTGTCAGGCGAGTTTTTACCAGCGCTTTCAAGACCTCATCGAAGTCCGGGTGTTGCAAGCTCCAACCTTCAAACGGTCACCAGACTACCCTCTTGAAGGATCCAACAATGTTGAGTTTCGTTGGATCTCGTGGAGAGTGTCAGCTTGCGGTGATACCGCTGTATCCTTCGCCGCCGCTCTTTGTAGTCCGCAGGTTGCCCTGACAAGATGGGCGCAAAACTGTTGGGAAGATCTGCGTAGTGACCTTGTCCTTCGCAGAGGCAGGTGCCTGTTGTCTCCTCTGAGGCCAATGCGCGAAAGTCAAAGAGCTCAGTCTTGCCATTCCGCCCCAAAGGTGTGCGGTAACCTAGAGGGTTGTAGGGAAAGTCGTGCGCCGACGCACGACGAGCGAATTGAGTGGAACTGGGAAGTGGCGGACGGCGCCGGCTGCCTTTTGGCCTCGTGTTCGTGGGCGAAAGGTAAGAATAAAAGGACCGGGATAACCCCACATGTTAAGCTTATCAGAACTATCAGTGAGAAGTAGAGACTGATCAGAACTGGACGATAAAAGTGAAGGAGATGAGTGGTGTGTGATGAGTGGTAGTGATGAGAAGTAGAGACTGATCAGAACAGAGGACGGAAAGATACGAGACGATAAAGAAAGCAGTGCGTGATTGAAAGAATGAGTGAGGGAATGAGAGAGACAGAACGCGCGGGTGTAGCATTGCATGTCCATTCAATACGAGCTTCTCCAGAAGACATGCAGCGCGCCATTTCTTTTTGAACAGAGGCAGCGCAAGTGTCAACTGCACTCCGTAAAGTTCAGAGTACCATCCACTCCTCTTGCAGGCTCTGCGTACTGCGCCTGCCGCGAAATCTACGCTCCAGCATCTGCGGCCGCGGCCCAGCGGCGTCCACGCGTCCATCCAGTCCTCCTCCAGGCTCTGCCACGAAATCTGCGCCGCAGGTTCACCAAGTGCTGTGCCTGCGGCGAAATCTGCGCGACAGGCAGCTGCGGTCCAGTGGTGACCGCGCGTCCATCCGCTCCTCTTGCAGGCTCTGTGTACTGCGCCTGCCACGAAATCTGCACTCCAGCGTCCAAGCGCTGTGCCTGCCACGAAATCTGCGGCCCAGCGGCGACCGCGCGTCCGTCCAGTCCTCCTGCAAGCTCTGTGTACTGCGCCTGCCACGAAATCTGCACTCCGGGTTCACTGAGTGCTGTGCCTGCCACGACATCCAGGCGTCCACGGGTCGTGTAAGATCAGTGGTGTCAGATGAGTGGTGTGAGATGAGAGTGGTGTAAGATGAGTGGGTTGAGATGAGAGGAGCAAGATGAGTTGTGTAAGATGAGTGGAGTCACAAGAGTGGTGTAAGATGAGTGGTGTAAGATGAGTGGTGTGAAATGAGTGGTGTCAGATGAGTGGAGTCAGATGAGTGGTGTGTGATGAGTGGTGTAAGTTGAGTGGTGTAAGATGAGTGGTGTAAGACGAGTGGTGTAAGATGATGATGTGAGTGGTGGTGTAAAAAGATGAGTGGTGTAAGATGAGTGGTGTATGATGAGTGGTGTAAGATGAGTGGAGTCAGATGAGTGGAGCAAGATGAGTGGTGTAAGATGAGTGGTGTAAGGTGAGTGGAGTCAGATGAGTGGAGTAAGATGAGTGGTTTCAGATGAGTGGTGAAAGACGAGTGTTGTAAGATGATGATGTGAGTCAGATGAGTGGTGTGAGATGAGTGGTGTAAGATGAGTGGTGTAAGATGAGTGGTGTAAGATGAGTGGTGTGAAATGAGTGGTGTCAGATCAGTGGTGTAAGAGGAGTGGAGTAAGATGAGTGGTGTAAGATGAGTGGAGCAAGATGAGTGGTGTAAGATGAGTGGAGTCAGATGAGTGGAGTAAGAT